CCCTGCCACAGACAGAGGCTGCTCCGGAATCCGGAATAGTCCCTACCTGCAGGGTGTCTGGGCCTGCTGCAAACAGAGGCTGCTCCAGACAAGAGCAACCCCTGTCTGCTGGACACTTCTCCAGCCCCCACCTGTTACCGGTTAACTGGAGACACCCGTATAGCTTCTCCCAACCCTAGAACCAGGCAGTATTTAAACCCTTCACGGCTCACCTTGATTTCCACCTGGTTGAAGGTCTTGCCGTTGTACACGCCGACCATGCTGCCCACCATCTCGGGGAGGATGATCATGTCGCGCAGGTGAGTTTTGACCACCTCCGGCTTTTCCATGGGGGGGGCCTCCTTTTTGGCCTTGCGAAGGCGCTTCAGGAGGGAATGCTGCTTGCGCCGCAGGCCCCGGTTGAGACGCCTGCGCTGGCGAGCGCTGTACAGCTGCATCAGCTGCTCGCTGCAACAACACAGAGCAGCAGATCAGCCAATGACGCGGCAGCTTCCGCGTAGCAGCTGGGTTCGGCGAGGAAAGGCACAACACACCAGACCTGGCGGTAAGACCCCATGGGTGTCTCTGCCAATTGCGGGAGGGGCAGAATTACCCTTCGTTTACCACCAGGAAAGAGCCAGGAATTAGTTTAGTACTGCCGAGGACGTTCTAGTGAGAGGCAGAATCGCATACTGATTATTAATCACGTCTGTTGTGGTACTGCCTACAGGTCAAGAGCTGTGCTAGGCTTTGTACAAACCACAATAGTAGATGATCGTTGCCCCCAAAGCGCTTACAATCCAAATAGAAAAGACAGCCCGAACTCAGCCACAAGCAGAGTAAACAATGTGGCGTCAAGGTCATGTCAGTGACAGCTGAGGGATGGTTTACTGAGAAGGGGGTGAGGGAGGATGAAGCAGAGGCGAAGGAAAGAGGGGGCAGGCATGGAGCAAAGCTGAGGCCAAGAGGTTGAGGGGATGGAACAAGCAGCCAATCAATGCAAGGCACAGGAAAGTCCTGAGAAACAGAAGCATAATTTTTTGACTGGTCCCTGCTCTCACAAGCTGGTGTCTGACTCCTCTCCGTAGCCATCCCCCAGCACCCTCAGAGTTAGGGAGTCCCCTACACAATTTTGAACCCAGGAACGCTAAGAAATGGCTCCTGCTTGCACCCCCTCTTCCCACATTCTCTTATCCCTTAATTCTGGGCCACGTGACACAAATGAACATGTTAGATTCATCGGAACGCTCAAAGTGGCTGACGACAAAACACCGCTTCAGGTCACTGAACCCAAAGATTCCAGCTCACACTGCTGATGCTAATGGATTAACCCGAAATTAAGTCTGCGGGAGAAAGGCGGACAGTATTTTTGTTTTACAGGCAGAGAAACTAAACAAGGCATGGGACTTGTTCTAAGGTTTTTGCCTGAGTGAACAGCAAAAAGCTGTTCCAGCCAAATTAAGGAAGTAGTTTAATCTTAATGGATACTTGTCTTAGAATATGATCCACTAAACGTCAAGAGGTGAGAAAAAAATCTTAATACAGTCGGCCCCAAATCACCTCATATTCCTGACATAAGAGTGTCTCAAGCAAGGAGAAAAATTGTTCTCCTTGGCCTCTGAGGATATGACAAGAAACTGCAGCTGAAATTGCAGCAAGGGAGGTTTAGGTTGGACATCAGGAAAAACTTCCTCACTGTCGGGGTGGTGAAACACTGGAATAAATTGCCCAGGGGGATTGTGGAATCACTGGAGATTTAAGAGCAGGTTAGACAGACGTCTGTCAGGGATGGTCTAGGACAGTGCTTGGTCCTGCAGTGAGGGGAGGGGACTGGACTCGACCTCTCCCGGCCTCTTCCAGTCCTCATGTTCTAGGATTAAACCCAGCCCAGGAGTCACACAGCAAGGAACAGAATTTAGACATCAGCTTGAGTCCGGGTCCTGGGCTTTCCCCACCAGACCTGCCTTCATCTCTTACCACAGCCTCACAGCTCGCTTAGGTTAACCGGGGAGAAGGCTGCCAAAAGGGAACAGTTCTTACTAGGACATATCGAGCAGCTGATCCAGGTCAACCCCTCGGTAGGTGAATTTTCTAAAGGTTCGTTTCTTCTTCTGTTCGACCTCCGCCTGGATTGAAGGAACCAGAGGGGGGAGGGGGTGACAAAAACAACAGATGAGGCCACCAAATTCTAAAGGCATCTAAGCAGGCGCGACAGATCCCCCAACTAACTGGGCTGCTAAACAGCAAAGGGGGTGAAGCAGCCCAGTTATTGCTCGCCTGCTGTCGACATGTTACTGGGGGGAGAGAATGTGTATGGCAGTTCATTAGTCTCTGTAAAAGGGCCCTGAGGAACAGGTATAGATGCCGTGTGACATGATTCCTAACGAATCCGTTACTGAAACCCGTATCCAGGTTTCTTTCACACATGCGTGCGCACCTACGGTCTCAGAGAAGCCTCCAGCTCAAGGGTGAAGCCCTCACATGGCTTAACTGGGCACCTCCATATTTACAGGAGGTTGGTCACTGGACATACCTGGAGCCGGGTTAACCTGAAGTACCAACAACCCTCTGCCAGCCGTCCACAGCCCCACATTCAGCACCATGCCAGCCCTACAACGCCACCCCCACCCCATACAACAGGTACACAACACAGCATCCCTTCCCTACCACCACCACGCTCCACATACTCTACACAGTCTCACAGCCCCAGCACCCAAGACACAGTGCTCCCTCAACACAGAGCCCCCCAAATCACAGTCTACAGCAACCTTCCCTACCACATCGTGCACACACCTACAGCAACCTCCCCCCACAGGCACTCACCTGCACCCCCAAAATACCCCATCACAACCCCTGTCCACATGACCCCCAATGTACTCTATTTTCCCCTTTTCCCCAATGCATACCCCCCCACTTGCCCCATCTCCTCCCCCTAATGCACACCCCCACTCTCCCCCACATGTCCCCCTTCT